ACAACAAATGATAGATGATAGAACAAATATTTAATATATTTACTCAGGTTCCTGAAGAGAAAGTAACTGGTAACATAGAAGAATAGAGCCTCAGCCTTCTGTAGGCTGTTTTCCATAGGAACTGCCATTTACTGGGTCAGGCCATAATAACTCCTTCTTGGCCAATAAGCTGAGTTTCAGTGCCAGAGAGTGGATGTCAAGAGGGAGAGTTGAACAGGGTACATTTTTGTTCACACTTTTGTCCCTTAACTGAATTATGTGTACTTGTGAAAAGTGGGCAAGCTCCTTGTACGCAGCACAGCTTGAAGTGAGCTGGCAGAACTGGCCAACAGCCAGTTTTGTGGCTTCCTGATGCTTAGGACTCTACTAGGTATAACTGAACTCCTGTAGGGAACAGAGGATAATGGGCTAAATTCTCTAGCTAACTTACAGCTCCCCTGTGACACCAAGTTAATGAACTCGACTTGAACAAAAATTTAGACTGAAAGTAGAATTCTGGCTCCACTAAAGTTAAAGGCAGTACTCCCTCTAACGGGGCCAACATTTCATTCATAGCATTTGCATACAATACATAAGAGATCTATGTATGTGGCCACAATTGAAAGATGGAGCCACAGTTTATGTGGATCAGACTCTTCAAATAAATCCTTGCATCAATTAACAATTAGTCCTCCTGCCATTACTTTAGTGCAGGGGTGGCCAACCTACCATATGCAGCTTTTCAGAAGTTAATAGGCGTCTCCTTGAATCTTTGCACAAGTACATGGTGACCAGCTTCCATTTAAATTGTGTCTGTAGTTTAAAAGCTTCCATTTAGCAGGTCACAGTGTACTCATGCAAAGATTCAAGGAGACAACTATTAACTAGTGAAGAGCTGCAGGTTGGCCCCTTATTTCACAATTCCATCCTCAGCCTCAGTTAGTGTGTTGGAAGAGCTGCCGATTATGTTCAAGGATGCATAAAGTAATGCACATTTGACCAGAAGATAGCTTCTGGGTGAGAGGGGTAAATGGAAAACTGAATCTGCTACAATGCTAAGAACATACTGAAAAAGCTTCTGTACATGCTATAATTCAGTTAGGAAGTCTCCTAGGGTTCCTGTTTAGTTTGGACACAGCTGCACTTTCCATTTATTTTAATGACATAATGCTCTTGAAAGGTGTTGGACTGCCAAACCTGGAGAATGAGGTCCTTCATTTACTTACAGATCAACCACAGCACAAGCCAGGAGTTCCTTACCAGCATGATCTGAACACAGCTTCCAGGGAGAGCGGGTGGCTCATACTTCATGTTGATGCAGACTCCAAGAGCAATGTAGCAGGCCCAAATTCATTTATTTGTGCTCCCTCGATTCGCTGCCAGATGCCAGTTTCATTTCATTCTGCATTGAGAAGGTGGCCAGAAGGTGTGCGAAGATGGCTAGCTGTGATGAGACATGGAGTTATGTAACACTTTGGGAAATGGTAGGAAATGCTGGTAAATTCTCTTCTTCCCTCTGTTGTCATAGATCAATTAATACTGATCTAAAATTCAAACAAGATTCCTTAAATATTGTCATGTTACTAAGACCTTGTCCTCATTGATTGAGGTGTGTTTTTCCCCCCTCAGGGAAACTAATGTGGCATGGTTAAAAGCATGCCAAACAAGCAACGCAGTGAACACAAAGCACTGCCTATTTCACCATGAGGAAGCTACGTCAGGTCAGCACTGTGTCCCCAACCATAGTTAACCTTCCCTAATAATAATAAAAGAAAGTCCTTGCCTTCCTTGAGAATTTAGCTCAGGAAAGCCAATGCATCAATTATCCTAATGTAAAATCCACTTCTTCATAGCAGTGGCCACAAGGTCCAAGTCTCCAAAATGCATGTTAGTAGAATCAAGTAAAGGTAGCAGTTGTTGCAGGGGATATGAGAGTCAGGACTAAAACCGTTCAAGATCTTGTGCCTCATTATCAGTAGTGTATTTATCTTCACCGCATGCCTGAAAGGCAAGAAAGTATTATTGTTGCCTGCTTTAGGGATGAGGGTCTGTGACAGGAGCCAGACTAAGCATATGCTAATGCTACAGTGACTCCAGCTCACGTGGATAGCATCAGCATCAATAACCATGTAGCCACAAGAGCACAGAGCTCAGCATAAGCTAAATGTTCATGCAAGTTCCCAGCTTCTCCTTACGTCTCTACACACGTTTGACAAATCTAAACTTCAAGCAAACCTGCAGACATTTCCTGAGTGCCAATTCCCCACAGCCCAGCTCCAGACCATAGTGTTTGGCTTCTGTGTTTTATGTTTTTATAAAAAATCTCAATATGATCACCCATCTCATCAGAACTCCTAGGTTCTATGCCCGACTGCTTCATGGAGACTTCGTTTCTGGGTTTTTTTTCTTGTTTCACTTATTCAGTTGATCTTAAATAACACCTTTTTGAATGATGATACATATTTGCTCTATAACAACGGTGCTCAATCTGCAGCTCCTGAGCCCAATCTAGGCTCCAACACCATACCATCCATCCCATGGGGCTTCCCACGGATCTGTGGTAAGCCCTGCAGGCCATGGACCAGAGCAATAGATGGAGTGCACAGGGTAGTGTGGGGGGCAGATCCCAGCTGGGCAGAGATGGTGCGGGGCCCTATCCAGCACATACAATTTATCTGGCCCACAGGGCCACAACTGTGAACACCACTGCTTTATACAAAAAGGAAACAGCAAGAATACTGAGGCTGAGGATGGGATTGTGAAATAAAGGGCACCTGTATATAAATGCATAGGCTGTTCCAAGACACTGGAATTCTAGCACACAGGAACAGACTTGATTAATTGAGTCTGCTGGAGCATGGCAATTACTGCGCTCCCACAGCCTCCTGTAACTCATGTATCAGTGTCCCCACACTTCAAAATGGCAGTGGGGGCACTTGAATTAAAGTTCATCAAATGATATTTAGTTCAAGCAGGGGGCCTCACCTCCATTTTTAAGCATCGGGATGCTGATACTTGAGACACGGTGGCACTTCAATTAGACTGGCTCTTGGACCTGCTCTAGTTAGAGTGCTGCCCCTCCTTCACCCAGAGCATGTGTAAAAGTACCCAAAGAGCAGTAAGGAGCATTCCTGATTAAGTACTTAAAAGCATAAAGGTTCTGTAGTTTTGAAACAGAAATAGCACAGTAATGGCATCAGTCTTCATTCCAGAATTACTGTGGGTTAACTAGGACTTGCCTGTGCTAGGGATTTTTTTATCAGGAGTAAATTTCAACCACTGGCACAGATCCACAAGTGGTCTGTGCTAACTTGATGCATCTCAGCTTCAAATGACGGAAGCTACATTGAGCTGGGCAACTCACCTTTTATACTAATAATGTGCGTCTATACTATGTTTTCACTGAGGCAAGTTTATCAGTGTAGCTGCAAAAGCAAAAAAGCCGCCAGCACAGATAAACCCCTAAACAGAACATGAGTTCCCATCAGCCCCTGAAAACTTCTGTAAAATGATGGAGGCTGAAGTTTGCCACGGCAGCTCAGTCTACCTACACAAGGGGGAAAAGTGGCACATTTGCCATAACTATAAGCTTAGGCTCACACTTTCAAAACACTTCAGCAAAGTTCTGCATATTTAGGAAGTGATGTTGCATGGTTTCTCCTTTTTTTTTATTTTATTTTTTTTAAATGTAATCAGTAGCTCATTTCATGAACTCTCTTATGACAGCCCCCCCCCCAACATTTTTAAATAAACATACTCACTAGAAAACTGGCTTAATATTAAAAGTCTGCAACTTTAAAGGAATAATGTAATATGTTGTTTGGAGTCCCACTGGGCTGTTCAAACACGAGAGGAATTTCTCCCCATATAAAAAATCCTTTCATTTTTAGAAAAATATTTTTGTTTCAGTTTTTAGTAAATTAAAACCAAACAAGACTATGTAGCTCAAATATGTAGGCAGCCAAGTCATGATAGACTTCCAGTTCCCTTACTCTTGGTGTTTGCTTTTACAAGGAATGTTGCAGAGCAGAAAATAAACAAAGCAAGTTGAATTTGCTCCAAAGGGTTCTGGTGACATCATGAACCATAAGAGTGAAACTCAGTTGGTTGCATGACACGTGAACTCCAAGAAAGACATTCCCTTCCTTAATTTATTATGTACAGTTAAGATGTTCCACAGCCACAAATCTTGATTACTATCAAAGATTGAACCCAAGTCCACTACAGCCAGGAGCTTCAACCTCTGGATGAGCTTAAAACAAAGTGTGTGCTATTGCCCACTGAAATTAATGGAAAGATTGCCGTTGAACCCATTTGGCTTTGCTTTAGTTCAGGAAGAGACCATTGCAGTCCCCTTTTGTAAACAGGCATGCGCAGATGGAAACTTTGGTTACATCTTCCCCTCCTCCTGTCTCTTGCTCCCATCTCTGTCATTTGCTTTTCTTCTCTAGTCAGTCCCACCTTGCTTACCCATCACAGCCATAAATTTGCATACCTCCCATCTTCTCTCCAGTTATCTTCTAAGTTGGC